ACTTTTCCCGGTTCAAAACATTAATTTTTAGCGTTTCTTTAGACTACTTTTATACGTACTTTTAACGTTCAACATGGCTTCCTTTTCGCGCGCTTTTTTTCAGTTCATCGCGGGCGACAATAAATATTCTACGTACGTCATGTTATTTTAGTCAACTCAACGTAACAGGCAGTAAACTTTCCAGTGCTGGGATTGTAACCATTTGCAATATTTAATGAGACGTCATTAAACTTGATGGCATCATGAGCGTAGTTTGGTCCGATGCTACCAGATGTCAGAGTTGCAAAAAATGCAGGGATGCGCTATAAAAAAAACCCAGTATTATTATATAAACATAAGTGTTATATAGAGTTTTTGGCCACAAATCGTATTTAAACACACGTAAAAAATACGATATTTTTACGTGTGAAAATATCATTTGTTGTAAAACGCATTGCCACGGACGTTTTATTGTTTTTCACTGAATTGTGTTTATATAATAAACAGAAAAATACATGGGTGCTTGAAAAATACATGGGTGCTCGTGTTGAACATGATATCTCACTCGTTCGCTGCGCTCACTCGTGAGATATCATGTTCAACACTCGAAATAAATCTGGTATTTCCGCGCACCCATGTATTATTCTCTATTTCCAATGTAAGACAAATGACGTAATCCTCGAAATGAGGACAATGCATATATTTGGTAAGGCATAGTTACCAAGTTGAAAAAATGCAGATATATTATAACACATGCAGAACCTCGGTGTTAAAATGGCAACCGAAGAAGCCAAGTGAGCATGCAGCTAGTGATATTCTATTTCAAGCCGTTTCGGTAAAATCACTATAATACCTCAGCCTCACGGCTGACACTGCGTTGCCATGAGGCCCTGGGACCGAAGATCTGTTCCAATTCAAAAGAATTTTAATTATTTAATAAACTCTTTTGTCTGGAACACCAACATGGCCGCCATGTCTTTTGTTGAGTTGGTCCCTGGGGAATGAGTGCAACTGACGCTCTACTGGGTGTATAAATCACCCTTTTGTTGTAAACCGTGCACTGCCAATCTTTATTAGCTACCTCTGAGAGTTTCGAATGCATTGTAATCGTACGATCGCGAGCATATTAAAGACTGGTTCACACTGGTCGTAAGAATTGGAGATTTCCATTGTCTGTGCATGGTCGATTGGTGTGTAAAATGCTTTGTCTGTCGGAAAAGAATACAATAGATCGTCGACGAATTACGACCAGTGTGAACCAGGCTTAAAGCTGCATAAATTGTAAATTCTAATTGAAAGTTTAAACGACTTAGATATTAGTCCCGTCATGCAGATCAATCAAGAATGGTTCAACTGACTACAGAGCAAGGTCGAGCAAGTGCCAAGGAGTATTTAATTAAATACCCAGGTTTATAATATCGCGCTTTTAACAACAAAAGGGTGATTTCTAAAGGTCACTTTTTTTAGACAACCTATACAGGGTGTCCCAAAAAAAGTACCCTCTATAGAAATTATCCTATTCAGTGTTATAATTTGAATGCCTGAGCACTATGCTGAACACAAGAGTGCGTAAACACAATTGAATTAAATTTTTAATTACCAGTCGCATAAAATCTTGTGCCTAACAACAATAGGATAAATTTCTATAGAGGGTACTTTTTTGGGACACCCTGTATAGTCCCGTGTCCCGCCTATTTTTCTACCTTCAATAATAATCTCTTTCCCCAACCCGCCAAATATAAAAGTTCGGGTCTCGGGGGCTTATTAGAGCCGCTGTAATTGTAGTCTGCAAATCTAGACGTAATTTCCTCGTTTCAAACGAGGGAATTACGTCTGGATTCTGGCAGACTACTGTAATTGGAGAAAGCGAAAGCTGTGGCGTGTGTACCCTCAAGACATTTGGGCGTATTTTTTATATAGGCCTAAATATTAAGGATATGCATGCATGGTAGGCCTACAATTACATGTAAATTTGACAAAGCTTAATAAATAAATAAATAAATAAATGAATTATTAGAAGATCTACGAAATCACCTTATAATTTAATCATAACCATTAAGCCTGGTTTCCACTAATTCCACATGGTTGTAACTGTCGCGAACGTGTCGTGAAGTGTTTGTCGTGAATGATTTTTATGCTTGTTTCCATATATATGGTTGCATGTATATGTAACTGTCGTGACACTGTCGCAAGTTAACTTTATACCCAGGCCAGGGTCGTACAAGCAGCTGGCGGCAGTTTTAAAAAAGACAAACACGGTCTCCCCAAAGGGGATCTTTGCCCACTCACCGTTGCCACGCTGTCGTTTTTATGTTACATTAAAACATAACCGTCACGAGACTCACGACACGTTTTTAGCCTGTCGCAACTGTCGTCGGGAATACTGTTGTAAATGTCGTGAACTGTTCCCAGCGTATCTCGACAAGACTTTTCCTTATGTTTACATTTGGTCGCGAACACTACGTTGACGACAGTTACAATAGTATACGTTCGCGACAGTTACGACCATATGGAAACCAGGCTTTAACAGTAAAACAGCGATAAAAATAGAGTGAGTCAGTATAGAATGAAAACATTCATAAGTGCACTAGACCACGAAGACCGAGCACCATGACATTGCCATGCCTCACGCAAGACGTTTAGCAACAAAACAAACGTTGTTCGAATCCAACTCTGCTGGCGGAAATGCCATTACTTGCTTTCACCATAAATATATTTTATTTTTCTAATTTAATCAAATTCATCAGTTTTTAACGACTAGACACTCACTTCAATTCCTACAGCTTTTCCATTCAAGATGAAATCTCTCATGCCATGCTGGAAACTCAAGTTGATATCGGATACCTGAAAATTTATCAAGAACAAAAATGAGTTCCTTTCTGTCTGTGCATGGGTTAGTCCATTTTTCTACAATTACGGCGCTCTCCAGTATATGTCTCTTCATTTCTAGTATTTTCTACAATTATGGCTCCCCTGAAATTTGGTAAGTTATATTATTATTATATATATATATATATATATATATATATATATATATATATATATATATATATATATATATATATATATATATATATATATATATATATATATATATATAT